ACGTGTGTCCCCTCAAGGTCATCCTGAAATCCATTCTCTCTGAGTGCCACCCTTGACATAATGCAGTCCCCAGCAGAGTCACCACCTTTAGCTGTGGCCCTTGGCTCTGTGTGTGGCACCCACACCAGGAGCTGTGCCTGGGCTCTGTGAGAGGACCTGCAGTCAAGTTCACACTTATCAAACTCCAGGGTGGTTCAAATTAGTTCTTCTGTCTGCAAATATCTCCTGCCCCTGTTCTAGTGCTTCTAGCTCACTTTCTGATGTTGTATTGATTTCCTTCCCCCCCCTTTCATTCTTTCTTACCATGTGAAACCAAATTAAAGCAGGAATTGGGATTGTAAATAGATAATGGTGTGTGAATGCAGATGAATCAGTGCCATCCATGTACAGTAATGCTGACTGTGCCAGGGGAAGAACAGCTGAGTGAACAGGGTAAATATTTAATGCCTGAATCCAAAGTGAAATACAAGAGCAAGAAAAGAAATAAAGAAAATAGTTTAGTCAAGAAAAGCACACTTCACTGCTTTTGCTCAAAAGAGGAGTTTTGACACCATTAACCTTTCTGGATTATGCACTAAAGGAATTAGAGGAGCAGCATTTAAGGCAGAGGCTACAATTTCACTTAAGGAAAAAATGCCTTAATGCTCTGGTTAAAAACAATATTGGGCAGCATTTGGGCTATAATCAGTTGCTTAAGAGATGGAACAGGTTGATGAAACAGGTTGCCCAGGGAGGTAGGTTGTGGCTGCCCCATCCCTGGAGGTGTTGAAGGGCAGGTTGGATGGGGCTTGGAGCAGCCTGGGCTGCTGGGAGGTGTCCCTGCCCATGCAGGGGGTTGGGACCAAGGTCCCTTCCCACCCTCTCCATTCTGTGATTCTCTGCATCTTTCACAACCATCTATACTTGGAGACAGTGTTTAGGGTGGGGGGCCTGGGGACAGGGAGGGAAGTTCTGCAGGTGCTTAGGAGAAATGATGGACTCAGAGCTACCTGCTGGAAGGGGAGACAGCTGGTTAAGGAGTTTGTTGGAACTTGAAACTTGATCAGATTGATTCAATATCTTACAGGGCCTGAGCCTCCTTTCATCCCCCCAAAAAATGTTAATTACTTACTCCAAGTGACTCTAGGATTAAAAAGATGCTTTTATCTAAAATGGGCAATAAATTCCCATCAGTGAGCACTGACTATTGATTTTACTTAAAAACTCTTGCATTGCTACTTAGTCAATCCCAAGCCCTGGATGTCAGTTAATGTGTTGCCATGTTCAGGAAGCTGCATTTTTAATCAAGTGATTCACTGGTGATGGCAGCAGGAAAGGGAGGAGAAATGGACATAGGCTTGAAAAGTTTTGAGAATGGCTAATAGATGTATTTAAAAAGAAAAAAGTCTGGAATGCTGCAGAATGCAGTGGCAGAGGTCCAAAACAGAAGGGCTTTTATTTACATGACTCACTGGACTATTAGAAATTCAATCATTTATTGGGCTAATGGTGGGTGTTAAAAATTCAGAGCACATAATGTAGTACAAAAGTGTACAGGGGGATGTGGAAAGGAGCTCCAGCTCATTTTAATTAGCTCTGTGCATTCCTAAGTCTCTGCTGTGTAGCTCCTCCTTTTTCTCAAAGACAACAGGACAGCACTGGGTTTGTGAAGAAAACTGATGTCACCTTGAGAAGCTGGTGGCACCAGCCCCGTGTCCCAGCACCCCCTCACACAGCCTGTCCCTCTGCTGCTGTCCCACTTGTCCCAGCCTGCCTGCAGGTTTCCCAGCACTGACTGGAGCTCCTGCAGGAGGCTCAGAGGGTTCCTCTGGTTGCTGTGGTTGCTGTTGGCTCCTGCCTGCTGAGCATCCTTCCCGCTCCAGCTGGGGCTGCACAGCAGCAGCCAGGGCATTTGCATTCAAAGCCCATGCAGCTGCTTCAGTTCAACTATGTTTATCTGTAATTAAATATTCCATTATCAATTAACTATTAATGCTTCCTAATGATTATTTTAAACCTGTGGGAGCCTTATGGTGCCAAGCTAGTAGTTAACTGCAGGTGGGCACGATGTTTTCCACCAGATGTGTAGCTCAACCCAGGTTATTTCTTATCCACTGGAACATTTCTGCCCCTGAGCCACCCAGGCTGGTGCTGGCCAGTGTGGGTCTCAGTGGGAATGAGCCCTTCATCCTGCAATTGTCCACCTGCAGACTTGGTGGCAGCTGGGGAAGAGGAATTGGAGGACTAGGATGCTCTCTTGTTGGTTGTATGGGGTGGCCACTGAGCCTTCCTGAGCCCTGTGGAACACAAGAAGGTGCAGCTTTGGGGTTCAAGGGTGCCCCTTCTAGTGTGTTCCCACCTTCAGCACTGCAGAAGGGGTGGTTGGGTTTGCTCCCTTTCTTGCAGCCTCTTCCTCCTTGCCATCTTTGTTGGTGTGTTTTGGCTGTTCCCTCAGAGCAGAGCTCTGAGCTGGGTGTTGATGCTCAGCAGGACCAGGGATCCAAACGAGCTCCATGTTCCATGGCCACAGGAACTGCCACTGCCAACCAGCTGCTGAGCTGCAGGGATAGGAGGGGTGGGAAGATAAAAGGAGGAAGGGGGGTCTGCTGGACTGGAGCCCTGGAGAGCACATCAGCCTGTGTGCTGAGACTGGGGGCAGGGGAGTGTGTGGAAATGAGAACCTGACAGTGATTTCTTGGCTGATTTTAAAAACTGTCAATGTCTTTAGCAAATTCCACATGGTGCTGGTAAAAACTTCCATGCAGGAAGTGCAGGAACCAGTTTCCTTCACCCTAAGTCTTCTGTGTGTCATTAGAGTGGGTGCAAATCACTGTGGTAATGATTGATCCTCTTCCTCTACTCCTGCTTTTGCCTTCAGTAATTATTTATGCTCCTGCAAAAGTAGCAAGAAGTGCAATCCATTAATTTTTCTAATTGATTTTCAAAGTGTTAATTCACTCAGCTGGTAGAATTTGAGCACTTTGTGTGATCCTGGGAAGTGAATAGTGGATTATTCACATACCAAAGCAAAGTGTGTATGTAAGTAGATTCCTGGTCTGCAGGCCACTGAGTCCCCCTCTCAGAAGATATGAATATTACCCAAAAAAAAAGGGTTGGGGACACAAAAGTGAAATTCTGCCTCATTTCAGGCAGGTTAATTTTATTGTTTTCTAGTTCTTATTTCAGCCAATTGAATTACTTGGCTCTCCATACTTATGAAAGTAAAATTTGGCTCTGTTTACCTAGAGATTATTTATGAGAAGTTTGGCTATTGATTCAGAAGGAGTAATAAAATAGCCTTTGGGGATCAGAGTATTAAGTTTAAGTGTGTTGTCATAACAACCAGCCAGAGTCACTTCCTGAGAATTGGTTTTAGGCATCCCAGGTTTGCTAGCAGCCCAAAATATGTTCCTTTGAACTTAATTATTTGAAAAAGTTTCCAACTCCATTGGTTCACCTGCCATCTTTGAGGTGCCCAAGGGTGGCTGAAATGCCATCCAGAGCCCATTTCTGTAACACCTCGTAGAATGAGGAGTTATAAATAATAATCTGCAAACATGGTGATTAAAATAATCAATAGAGAAATTACCAGGAACGAGCTTCATTTTATAGTGCAGAGAGTGTTTGCAGTCATGCTTCACAGTGAGGCAGAATTCAGCCCCAAGACACTACAAGGTTTCAAGTCTGTACTGTAGGTGGCAGAGATGCTTTAGTTATGCAGCATCATCATCCCTGCTCTTCCATTGTCAAGGAGAGCAGGGTTACAGGGCAGATCACCCACCAGTAATGAACACCCTGCCAAGTGCCATCCTGGCTCCCTCCTGTGTCCCTGGGAGGAGGGAAGTTCACCTTTGGAGGGGTTAGTGAAGGACTTGAAAATATTTCCTGGGCTATCAGTTCTGCTGTTGAAAATGTGTAGTAATGAAACCTGAAGTGTCTTCTGAATGGAATGGATTCCCAGCATCCTTTTGCCTTCATCTAAAACAGCAGAGGTATTGGAATGGCAGTAATTTTTAAATAAGTGACAGTCTATGATTAAAAAATTAAATGGGCTTTCATTAACAAGAATAGGATTCCATAATAGCTTTTGTCATGGTACTGTTGTTCTCCTTCCCATGGTTAATGTTACCATTATATACCTCAATTCAAGAGTGCTGGGACTTAGGTAAACATTGTTCCTGACTGAGACTTGGTGTGTGACAACTCAGCCAGGAATTATGATCTGGAGTTTAATAAAGCAAACAGCATCATACTTAAAAAAAAAATGTATAAAAGAGGAATGAAGAGAACAGCTGCTGAAGGACTCCTAATGGGCTGTGGAGCTTTCCACTCATGTTTGATGGCTATAATCTTCTCCAGGTGGGGAGGTTCATCAATCATTGCTTCTGACTGGCTATTTCCAGTAAAATAAAATCATTCTTGCAGTCCTGTCTCTTCCTCAGTTAAAATAAACATTCTGGTTGGTGGGTTTTTTGCTTAGCAGGGTTAACCAAATGTGAAGATAGGGACTGAATGAGCTTGAGAGCCAAGCTCATCTTGCATAGCTTAGGTGTAGGTGTCTCCTGAGGTGGTTTGATGTCATTTCTGTTTGATATCAATAAGATACAAAAGGTGACAGAGCTACAAGGCTCTGCTGCTCTGGGGAAACACACAGAGCTCCTCTAGTTCAGAACTATTCTGTACCTTCCCCTCACTCTTTGTGGTGCAGGAGGAGATGGGAACCTCTTGGTGGTCCAGCTGCACCCCTTCATTTCCCTGGTACCACAGACCCAGCTCAGCCCCCTGGGCCCCTTTCCTCGGGAGGAAGGAACAGAAACCCCTGCAGTGACCCAGGTGTACCCTGGGGTGGGAAGACAAGAAAAGGAGGGCCCAGGAGCAGCCGTGGGGTGGCTGGGGCTGCCTTGAGCATCTGGGCCTCCTGGAGGAGTTTGTGTGGGAGCAGGGTTGCCTGGAAGGAGAGGTATTGGGGCATCAGTCGTGGTCAGAGTAACATTTGGCTGTTATTGCTTGGTTTCTTGCAGGTTTACTGGAATGAATTTGCCTGCCCCAGTTATCAGCAGTAAAAATTGGCTGCGGCTTCACTTCACATCAGATGGGAACCACAGGCAGAAGGGGTTCAGTGCCCAGTATCAAGGTAAAAGCTTATTGCCTGGTCTCACTATGCACAGCACGTGTTCAGCCAAACCTCTTTGTCCTAGGAATTAACTTCCTGCCAGATCCTTCTGTATCCTCTTTAACCTTAGTTTTCCATCAGGGTGTCCAGGCATTGTCCCATGGAGAGCTGCTCGTGGCACTTGTTGGGGGCATAAACAGGAGCTGCAGGAGAATGGTCTGCACCGTGTGCTTCGTTAGCAGGAGGAGCTGCTCCCTCCCCTCTGGTTTCACAGCCCACAGGGTGGGATGTGGCACCAGCAAAGGACACTCTGGGGTCCCACAGAGATTGTGTCTTTATTTACACTGAGCCAGTTTTTACTGGTCATCCCTAGAAAGGTGGATTTTGGGATTGAGATCTGAAGATGCTGTTGAGGGAGAGGAAATGCTTTGGCACACGAGCCAAGCAGAGGAAAGACCTTATTGTGTTCTGAGGTTTGCAGGCAGCCATGGGGTTCAGGGCATCCTGCTGAGACCACATGGGCACCAAAACTGATGGGGCTGAGTGGGTTCCTTAGAGCTGTGGACACCAGGGGGTCGGAGGCCTTGGAAGGGTTTTGTGGGTGCAAAGAATGCCATGATTGCTTCATACAGCTGGGTCTGGGGGCAGGGCCAAGGAGGGGGAAATGAAGCAGGTAAGTAGCAGTAATGACATCCAGTTCCTCATCCAGCCTCCAGAGGTTTGTGTCAGTGTCATTCAGGAAAAAAGGGACTTCAAGGAAAAGTATTAGACTAACAGGAGCAGAGTGGGAGGGAGGGGAGTTTCCTTTGAGAAACCTGCAAACTTGCCCTGCTTGCTCTGTTGGAACCTTAGCTGGGTTGTCAGGGCCTCGACAGGGGCTGTGCTTTATGAATCACCATTGTTATTTAACTTCCCTTGATTTCCTTTAACATTTAAATTATTTTAAATTACAAGAAAAAGATCCTTTGTTTTTTCTAGTAACACAAATGGCTGCACCTGATAGCTTCTGAGATGACATTTTCCTTTGCTGTCATGATTGCTGCTTTCTATTAAAACACCTGTCTGAGTCATCCTTTTTTCTTAAATAGAAAAGTAAAGATTAATGTTATAATTTCCTTTGATTAGATAAATGTCAGGGGGCTCTAATCTAGCACACTCCTTGGAAGCTGTTTTGTTAGATATAATGAACTGTGCTTTTGTGTATTGAGTGTTTAAAAGATGAACTTAAAATGTGCCTTTGGAATGGTGTTGAAGCAGGACCTCTGACTGGCAAAGAGAGGCTGACAACCCTTCTTCACACACTTACTGGTTTTTGTGGAGTTTGTCAGGTTCTTTCCATCTGTCAGGGAGGATTTCAATACTTCAGCAAACCAAGAAACAAGGTATAAAGGCAGGATACATGCAGGCAGTGGAATCTGTGTCCACAGAACATGAAAGTTGCTGCTGCAGCTTCAAAAAACTCAGCCTCACACTTTTTATAGAAACATAACCTTGTTTGAACAAAAATATTTTAATGGAGAGAAATAAATACATACAAAATAGGATGTGCAGTGCCCTGCAAAGTAGAGCAACTAAAACGTGGTTTTCAGAAGTAGAGATGAAACAGACCCCAGGAGTGTTGTGATAGGACAAGGGCTGATGGTTTTGAACCAACAGAGGGTAGATTTAGACTAGATGTAGGGAAGAAATGTTTTACAATGAGGATGGTGAAACACTGGCACAGGTTGCCCAGAGAGATTGGATGGGGCTTTGAGCAACCTGGTCTGGTTGGAGATGTCCCTGCTCACTGCAAAGGCTTGGATTAGATGGTCTTTAAAGGTCCCTTCCAGCCCAAACCATCCTGTGATTCTGTTGTCCAAGAGAAGGAAGAGAGGGTTTGGATCAATCTGGTTTGTTGTCCATCCAAAGACGTGTAGATACATCACTTATTAGCACCCTATCTCCTCTGAGACATATCTGGCTTTGCTGATAATCTATAAGAAAATAATTTCCCTTCCAGCTTGTTTGACATGGGTGCAGAGTTTTAGCAAAACACCTCCTTTGTGTGCTCTGTTTCAGCTCTTTCTAATCCATGCCCTAATTTGGAAATCTCTTTATGAATGTAAAAGCAAGGGTTGATACCATCAGCCTGTGTACAGGTTTTCTTTGTTGAATACAATAAATTTGTTCCCTTCCAGGGAGAGTGAATATTTTCCCCTTCCCTTTATCTGATGTGAATCCTGCATTCTTGCAAGGACTTTTTTTCCCCCCACATCTGTAAAAGCAAAGGACTGTAGAGAAATGGGTGCATTGATCTTTTTATCTTCCTCCCACTTCTGCCACCTTGCTTCCCCAAAAGGTGTCATGTGCCTGCAGCTGGTAAGAAAATAAGCTGGAAGTGCCTGGGTAGAAGAGACAGGGCAGGGGCAGGGGCAGGGGCAGTGTCCCCCAGCCCCCTGCTCAGCCCAGGGCTGAGAGGCTGTAAAGGAGGTAATGAAAAAGCTGCTGAATTTAAAATGATGCCAACCAGCTCTGCATAATGCTCTGGGTGGTGTGGTCCACCTCTCCACATCTTTTATTACAGAAGTTGGATCCCAAATTGCTTTTTAGGTGATTGGAACCAACACATAATTGCATCTTTTCTTGGTCTCCCCACCCCTTTCCCTTCCATTTCCATCCTCAGGTAGAAAAATAAACATGGGTGAGTCTGTAGCACAGCACTGGGCACCAGCAGCCCTGTCTCCTTTGATAATGGTCTGGTGAGCTACCCATGGCACGTGCTGCACCACAGAAATGGCTGCTAAGGATATGGTTATGGATGTAAAGAAATGCTTAGGTTTTGGTAGAACATCATCTGTGATCACACCTTTGGGCTGCAAGGTTATGGCTTATGCTGTGCAACCTATTGAGTCTCCTGGGCAATCCTCAGGTAGAGACAGGGAAATTCTGGTGCTTGTTGCAGGCTTTGATCCCTAAAGGCCCAGCACTGTGCCTGGCTAATGGAGGGGGTACATGAGGAGTTCCAAAGTGGTTGCATTTGGGGGTGTTTCTCTTCACCTCCAGCTTGAGTAAGAATCCCCATAAGCAACCTGCCATAGAACCCAGGTGACACTACAACACCCCAGCAGGAAGAAAAGGCATTTAATTATTTAATGACAATCTCCCAGCAAGGAGAACAGAGGTTCATAGATTTTTGCTGAAATGCTGCTTTCCAAATTAAAAATAAATCAATATCTCCTTAAATTTTTGTCGAGCACAACATGAATGGGTTTAAAAGCAGCAGCCCCGCCTGCCTGGGTCCTGCTGGAGCTTTGTCATGTCATCTTTCAGCTGTGACAGGACACTGAGTATTCCATTAGATCTATCAGATCTGTGTGAGCAGCAAAACCTGCCAGAAAACAGAGGAATTTCTGTTCATCCAATTATCCTGACATGGCCCTTTGTAGTACTGATCCACATTCAAATTTATAAACAAAATAGACTTTCATATTCCAGATTTTTGAGGGCAGGGAATGGGAGAACTGTTCTTCTTTTTAAAAAAGCAAGTGATACTGTATTCTGAGTTGTTCTAATCTAAATTGAGTCATTTGTAGAGCTTGACTTTCATCATTATGTCTCCGTGTGGCAAACAAAATGAAGGATTAAGAGGAGAGTATTATAGTGATCTCTCTTTATCAATTAGTGTTGAAAGAGACATGATGCAATTAGGGGAGTGTGCACTTCATGGGTAATGTGGTTTAGTCTCTGTATTTTAGGATTGGTCCTTAGTAATGAATGTCTGGTTCCTGCTGCTTGTTTTCATTACTGCTGGGTGGTTTGGAGCTGGGCTGTGCATTAATCACGGGTTTGGAGTGGGCTCTGCCTGGTAGCTGGGCTCTGGGAGGCAGGGATGAACCCAGGGGAACCTTTGTTGTCCAGTGTGTCCTTCAAAAAACATGCAGCTGTGAGCAAGGCACACCCAGAGGGGTCAAGGCCATGAAATCTCCACACTAGTTGCCTTCTGCTGGACCCTGGGACGTGTGAAATCAAAGGGAGTGGCTGGTAGAAGAGACAGGGCAGGACCCTGATGAGCAGTCAGTGTGACCCTGATGAGAAGTCCTGACCCTCCAGGGCTGCTTTATCCCACCCACAGGGTCTGCATCCATGCTGAGTGTGTAGGGCCAGGACCTGGAGGGCTTGGCTTGGCCTTTCTGGCTGCAGCCCTGCTTTGTCATGGGAAGTGAGCAGATCTGGGCTCTTCCCTGCGTGGCCCGCAGAAACATCCCCTGGTAATGGTGTGCTGGAACTTGCAATGGGAACTTACAGAGAATATAAGAATGGAAATGATTTTTATAAAGCTCCTCTCTTACCCCTGGTGCCCCAAAGCACTTCACAGAGCAATGAATTAGATTTGGCAGAGTCCTGAGCTGTTGAACGTTCTGCAATAGCTCAAATTTAGCCTCAGATACCTGAGATTGACTGTATTTTATTGACTGGGAGGGAATATTGGCTGTAACTAAGAGGTTATCCCTGATCTTGCTTGAGGAGGGCCAGAGAATCCTTAGCTGCAGCATTGAGGAGGGAAGCAGAGCAGGACCAGGACCTGCTCAGGGCTTTGTTCCTGGGCTGGGCTGAGGACATAGTGTGACCTGGAGGAAGATGTGGCTGTTTGGGGCATTCTGAGACCTGCTGCTTTTTCTCCCTTTGCAAATGGATTACAGTAAAAAAAGAAAGGAGTGTGTGTTAGATTTGCTTTGAAAATGGCAAACTGTTAGTTATTTTCGTCCTCTTTAAAAAAGAAGGTGAAAAAAAGCCCCAAGAGATTAAAGATACTAACAAGAAACACACAAACAACATAATCTTTTCTTGATGAATCTTTTTTAAGCTCATGTGCACCTCAGCTTGAAGTGATAACTGCTTTAGTTAAAGAGAAAGCAAAAAACTGTAACCAAATGATGAACAAAAAGCTCAGAGAAGCACTTACCTTAGGAAAGCTTCAAGGAGGACTCCTTGACATTCCCCTGCCTGAATCTCCTGCAAACAGATGTTACAAACAGCTTTATTTATTTTTTAAGCCAAAAAAGCCTGATTAAAAAGAAAAGAAAACAAACCATGTTCATTCTGTCGGTAATTTTTCCTGACAACTTTGTCTTAGAAATGTGCTAATTTAGGGATGAAAGTATGACAAGAAAAGAGCAGTTGAAAGTGGGAGATGAACTGGTTTTCTCCACAGATAAGGACTCGCTCATCAGAAAAAAGGCTCCTGTAAAGTGATTTGGACATGATGCTTTCTGCTGGGAAGTTATTTTTTAACCACATTAACTTCAAATCTGCCAGTAAAAATTCTGCTGTGTGTGAGTCAAAAATCTCTGTGTGCTGCAGGAAGCTGCTGCCTCTCTCTCCCCACCAGTATCCAGACGGGTTTGCCTGTGGGGTTTGTGCAATACCCTCTGGTGGGGGGAGAGCCCTGGTGACAGGCAGGTCCAGATCATACAAAGAAATAGCTGCTCACTTCCTTGGGGAATTTTCACACTGCAGAGAAGGACAGGACTCTTGGTAGTGGATGGATGGACAGGAATCTTGTTGCTGCCCTCGTGTTTTCTCATCTTCTGGATGAGGTTTTGAGCAGGGAGGGGACTGGTCACAACAGGACCCCTGGCAGAGTCACCAGGCAGATTCTATCCTGGATGTGCCTGTGGCTGCTGCTGGTGTGTCTGTGAATTAATTCTTCTCTTTAGCACTAGTATGGTTTTAATATAGCCCTTCTTTTCTGCTATTTTACTGCCTTTTTGAGAATATTTATTCAAGTCATGTGCACAGGTTTTAGGTTGTGGGGTGTTCATCTGAGTGCTGTATTCCCACAGGAGCAGAGAATGACTTTAGTGTATAATACATTCATGGAATAAGTGCAGCAGTAAAACTGGGTGAAACTAATTCAGCATTTTACTCTGCTGTTCCTTAGAGCTTCCCTTGTGTCTGTTCCCCATTTTTAGGCTGTTCAGCAAAATGTCATGGTAAATGAGCAGGGCCCAGATGGTTTTGAGGGGTCAGGATAAGTTGTCAGAGCTGTGAGGGAACGACGGGGCATCCTGCACTGAGGGGTTCTACAGCTGTTGCTTCACTTGCTTTTTAAATAGTCCCTAATGCTGAGCTAAACCTTTTCTTTGTCTTTTGCTTTGTTTTACATCTGTCTCTGTAGTCAAAAAGCAAATTGAACTGAAGTCCAGAGGGGTGAAGCTAATGCCCAGCAAGGACAACAACCAGAAGACATCAGTGTGTAAGTTTTTTGGCTCCTCCTCATGCTCTCTTTGTATAATGAGCTCCTTGAACATTTCATTTGGCTTTCCAGTGACCTTTAAAACTTTGTCACTCTTGAAAGTTTTAATGCCTCTCCCTCTCTTCCCTCTGCATTACTGCATCACTGCCTCCCAGTGCTCTATTCACAAGCATTTACTAACTCGTTGAAGTGGGAATGGAGGGGACTGGTGTGTGTGCATTTAATATATACTGTATGTTCCTGCTCGGGGGCAGCCTGGGGTCTGGCACTTCTGGTGTCTTCCAGTGTGGAAAGTGTCAAACTGTAAACAACTGTGTAAACTGAATGGTGTAAAATTAGGAGTGGGGAAAAGGAACCACACTAAAATGAAGAGCAACTAGAAAATGTACAGGGGCAGTAGCAGTCTCTTCTTCTCTCTCTCTCTCTTTCTCTCCCTCTCTCTCTCTCTGCATTTTATTTAATTATTCATCCCTGGAGAAAAACCAAACCACTGCTGTGCAGGAGCTTGTGGTGCTGATTTTTATGGTCTCCTTGTTAAGTTACTTCCAGTGCATGGAGGGGTTGGTGCCTTAGAGGTGTGCTCAGAATGTCACCTTGTCACTGCTGTGTTTTCCTCTTGCAGAAGTGAACCCATTAGGTACATCCATCTTTACTTCAGGTTCTTTCCAAATCCAAAGCAAGGCTGGTGTTGTCTTTCTGCATGTGGCTCTGGACAGATGACTGGGCCCTGAAGGAGACTCTGAGATTAAACAGGAGGGATCCAAATTAACTCAAATTTGTGTTTTATATCAATTCAAATAGGAGCAGAATGTAGCATTTCCTAAAACAGTTTTTAGAGGAGAGGATAGAGGAGCTCATTGTGCTGCCTAGTCCATTGCACCCATCATGGGGGGACACTCCACTCACCTGGATTTCAGATGCAAAATTCACTGAAGAAAAATGGATTAACTGAATTTAAAGCATCCCCTCATCTGTCTGAAATGGAGGTGGCTCACTTCTAGGCCCCCATCAGGGCTTATTCTCTCCAGTTTTTCAGGAGCAAAATCCAACAGGGTAACTAAATAGCAGGATGTAAATTGCCCAAAATCTCCAGAGCAGAAAATGGTGGAGCATGTGTAGAGAAAATACAATTTCAAGAAAACCTCTGTATGCAAGATGTTCCTGGTCCTGATACATTATTGCCAAGAGGAATTAATTGTCATAAACATTTCAGTTCACTTAACTGAGAATAAATTATCTGTGTGTGTGGGCACCGGAGCTGAAAGGATGTTTGGATTGGGAATTTGGATATTGGGGAATGTGGGGAAGGGGGTCTTCACTGAGTGAAAAACATTAGCCTGGTTTGGAGTCATTAGTTTACTGAATATGAGTATTTGGGGATTGAGAATATATAGGGTTCCCATTTCTCTTTCCTGGGAATGCTGGGCTGCTTCCCTGTGACAGTTTTCCCTGCTGTTAATGAGTGTTGGTGCTGCTGATTGTCAGCACTGGCACCAGCCCTGCTGGGGCTCCAGGGAAAGGCACTGAAGGCTGAAGAAGAGGCAGCAATGGAAGTTTCCCTCCCAGCATATCCTGCTCTATCCCAGTCATGCTTCACCTCTGAGGATAACAGTGTAGGAAGTTCTTGTTGCCTCTGCCCAGGTTATCCTCACCCAACAGCAGGCTCCAGTCTTCAGAGCTGTCAATTCAGCATCTCCTGTACTGCTAATCTTGTCATACTTGGTAAGGCAGAACAGAGCACAGGAAGGCAGCTTAGGCTAAAAGCTGCTAAGCTATAACCATCTAGATGCTGACAGACTGGGGCCCAGTCCCTTCCTTACCAACCTGGTGCTTGTCACAGACAGCCCTTGTGCCTTCAGCTCCTTCCATGGGCTCTGCACTCAGCAAGGGCTGGACTGGAAGCCCAGCTGAGCCTCTCTCTTGTGCAGCCTTCTGCTGTCACACTTGGTTACAGGGAATTTTCAACTGCAGAAATGCTGATTCAGGAGAAGATGTCTCCAGAAAATGGTTCCTTTTCAGCAAATGGAGCCCAAAATGTTATCTTCAGTTTTCCCTTGCCTTGTTGATTTGCATGGCTAGCCATGCCCCTTCTCTCAAACTTCCATGAGTTATGAGTCTGCATATGCAGCAGGGATCATTACACAGGTGGGACAGGCTGATTAAAGATCTGCCACGTTTGCCAGTGTTGCTCTTGTTTCATCTGGCTTGAACAGCAGAAATTCAGATATTCCTGTGTCTCTGGGTAATAGCTAGAGCTATGCCAGGCTTTGGTTTCAAAGACTTTCTTACCAGCAGTGTTTTCTAGTGCTCTTGTTCCTAAAATCCTCCCTCAAAGAATCTGGAGCCCCCCTGGAGCAGCTGGCAGGTACCTGCTTGGTACCTTGCAGGTCTCCCAGAGGATTTCTGCTTTGCTGGAAGGACTCTGTGGTTGGTTGCAAGATCCTTTCTGGCCACATCAAACCCTTGTGTTTCGTGTGTCTGAGTGGAGGCAAAATGTAGTTATGTAACAGCTCCTGGTGCTGCTTCAGAAAAAGAGTATGTAAAAATATGGAGTTTTGGTGCTCACTGTGTTTGGTTGCAGTCAGTTGGGTTGGTTTGAAATTGAAATCAAGTGCCTGGTACTGTTCACCATCCTTAAAATTAATTAGGCATCTTGCTGTAATCATTTTTTAGAGGAAAAGTAACACAGCTCTGGAGATATAACAAATAGTTTTGAACTTTATGTTGCATTTAGGAGATTATTTTGCTGTGTGTGTATATTCTGGGTCACAGAACAGGAAAAAATGTGGTACTTTGCTTTTACAAACCAGCATGAAAGTTGCTTTGTCTTTTGAGGACACCTGAAAGCATGTTGGAAGGGGTGGGGTGAAGCAGTGCAAGTTCTGGGTGTATTCAGATTTGTCAAAATCTATTCTAAATGCACAAATGCAAAGTTGTTTTGAAGGTGTTGACCACTTTTAGGTCTCAGCCAAGAGTGCAGAAGCTTCTAGATGCTCAGCTTTGCAGCAGGGCTGAGATCTGCAGGGGCTGGGGAGGCAGGAACGTGTGTCCCTGGGTCCCTGCTGTGCTGGGGCAGCAGAGGAACCAGCCTGGGTTTCTAGCAGGAGGCAGCACAGCTCTGAGAGAAGCTGCCTTGGGTCTAAGTAGGGCATGTTGCAAATACAGTCCTTGTAAATGGTCTTGAAAATCTGAAAGTCTGTAAACGTTTTTGAACTCACAAGCTTCTGAACTATTCTGAGACAGCACCAAGATGTGAAATGTGGGTTCAGAATTCCCCAAGTAAAAAATTTCCAGCTGGCAGGAGCCTTCTCCAGTGGTAGGGGCTCACAGCCCAAGTCTGTACCTGTTTCACACTTGCTAGACACATGAGTATTTAACGTCTGCATTAGTATCACTGAGGTTCTGGAAATGCTTCGTGTTTACCTGGGTGCTGAGGGACCTTCCTGGATCAGGAGGACACCAGGCACTTCGTTGGGGTCAGCACATGGCCAGTAGCTCAGGTCTGCTCCTAGCACTGAGGTTTGTAACCCATTAACTTTGACCAGGTGGCTGCAGGGAGTAGCTGCAACTCTTAGCATGATCCTAAGGATTAATCTTTTTAAAGCAACTAATAACTCCTGCAGACCTTCCCTTCCCACCCCCCATGCCAGTGGAAAAGCTCACTTGCTTGCACTGAGAAATGTTGAACGTCTGTAAAACCTTTGTAGATGTTGCTTTATTTTGTAGTTTGTATTTTACATTCCTAAATTCAATAAAACAATTGTCCCTTGGGAATCTATCAGTGAACTTTATGAACATGGGGTGGTACAGCAAACTAAGGAAGGTTTTTCAGTCCCTTGAACGTTTGGAGGAAGTTCCTGTGGCAGACACAGATGTACCTGGCTGCCAGGGCCAGGAGGGGGAAGTTGCTGAAAAAAAGAGCATGAAGGGGTGGGAAACCAGATCCATGGTTTGGGGGAGAGAATCCTTGAGCCTATAATGTAGAAACGGAACAGTTCCATCACAGTTTTGAAGATCTATTGTCATCCTAGGAACCTTGAGGAATTCATTTTGGAGAGCTACAGCTCGGGTATAGATCAGTCAAGCCTGCAGGAAGATGAACACAGAACTGACAGCGAGTTCTCAGCATAAAAATATGGATGAGGACCTTTTGTTTAGTTATGCTCGTGTGTGTTTAGAATACAAGATAGAAGAGCAAGAGTTTCTGTGACTGATCCATTCTCTTCTTTTGCTCTGCTTTACAACTCTCATGGTATGGAGGGATCTTTCCTTTTCCCCTTGCTCTGTGTTATCTGCTCTCTGGTTTATCTACACATGCTATATAGATATTTCAAAAATGCTAGCTAATGAGAGGAGATGTGTTTCTAGTCTTTAGAGCTGTGTTTTATAACTGACAACCTGCCCACTGGTGCTGGTGGGTTTTGCTGCTCATCCCTGGCCTTGCTGCCTCCCAGACCTCAGGGTCACTGTCGTCTGGTGTGGGGCACAATAATTGGGTGTGATACCAGTGCAGAGTAACTGATGTGGGCATAAATGGCATTGTCTGGATAGTCATTTGACCACGGGAGAAGGAATTTGGTGTGGAGAGGTGATCTGCTCTGCAGGGAAGAGTCTGCCAGTGTCTCCCTGCAGAAGCTGTGTGTGTGCATAGCCTGTTCAGTGCTGTGTTGCTCTGGGGAAGGTGTAGAAGCAAGATAAGAAACCTTAGCACTTCTCCTTAATCACCATATGGACTCGTGACATACAACCCTAGTTTGCACACTGTGTCCTTAAGCATGATGTGGCTTCCCTGGACTGGCTGTGGGGACAGCAGCGTGTCCGTGTGGGTGGGCAGTGATTTCAGAAGCCCGAAGGAAGATGTGTCACCTGCGTCCCGTGTCCAGCCAACCTCTCCTTCCTCAGAAGCAGCAGATCATTTCAAGCACTAGCAGAAAGGCTCTGGGAAGTTGATGATTTCATTTGCAGAAGGACCACCTCTCTCCCTGAGGAGCTGCTCTCCCTCTCAGGGTTTGAGGGGAACATTTGCTGCTGCTGTCTCTGAGCAGCACTCCCACTCGCTCCCCAGCTCCATGGGCTGCTCTGCTGGGGGGTGTTTCATCCTGACCTTATTTCCTTGCCTTGAGGCAATTCATGACTCACTGCTGAAGCCTCTGTGTTTCTGATGCTCTAAACTTCATTTGCTTTATGTATCATCAGGAGAACAGGAACATTAGGTGTGTCCCACACCCTGGGAGGTAGACACCAGGAGAGTGTTTAGCTCCACAAATGACATTCAACAGCTTCATCAAAACGACAGAAGTGGCCCCAAACAGCTTCTAAGATAGAGCTCAGCCAGTTGGGCCAACTTTTCTGTGCCTGTATTTTAGCTGTTGTTGCAATATGTGCCTGCAGCTCCTGCAATGGAGTGAGGAGGTCTGGGTCCTTACAGCCAGCTGCTTGTGTGGGGTTTAAACACCCTCCAAACCTACAGACCCTCAGGGAAACTGGCCAGGTTGATAAAAAGTTAGAAAATTTAAAGCTGTTCATTTTTTTGTGTGTGTATTTTAAGCATCAGGGAAGAAGTGAGAGTAGGTCAGATCAAAAGAGTGTATTTCAGTGAAGCAAACCCACCAAATTGAGACCTGCTGAGATAGCCCAGTGCAGTGGCAGGGACAGCCCCAGGTCCTGCAGGCAGAACCCCACAGCTGGGCTGGGAGCTGGTGGGAAGGGGGATCCAGGACAGACCAAGGCCCTGGGATGAGACGTTAGTGCTTAGAAGTGAGGAAGAGCTTGGAAGCTGTAGTGTTTCCAGTGGAGATGTTCAGATGAAAGCCCCATTGCAGCAGGAGCAGAAGAACAATCCTTCTGTCCTGCTGGGAGCAGGGTCACATATTCCAGCTGCGCTGTCGGACTACACAAGGTGTAATTACCCGCTAAATAACAACCATATCTGATGGCCTTGCCTTTCTGTGTGTTCATGCTGGGCAGTCTGTGTGTTCACTCCCTGTGCCCATCTCCCCATGCCCACCTGGGTGTGCTTGCCACCCTGCCCAGTGCCATTCGGGTCTCAAACTGTCGTGACAAACATGCTTTTATCACAGCACCATCATCCACTTGGCAGTGGCCTTTGAGGGGGGCACCGTGCTCACACAGTGTGTTCTGAAGTAAAACTGAGATTGTTCCTTCAACCCAGTGACAGGCAGAGGTAGAATGGGCACGTACTGGTTTGGGGTTCGTGCCTCGCGGCTCCGTTGCCAGGAGGTGTTTCCTCTGCGTCCGTACAAAGATGAGCGAGTGGCATCAACTTCTACAGCTCAAGGACAAAATCACCCCTTTGTCTCGTATTATTGTGTGTTTTGGTAGTTGCTGGAATTCCAAATTGCAACGAGTGTGTTGCCAGGTCTCATGTCATCCCTGTCAGGAGCCCCCCCAGGGTCTGTCCCCACAAGTCGATGCTTGTTTGCGCCACTCGAGAGGCTGGAGGGGGAAGGTGGAGATGGGGAGACAGAGAATGAAGTTTGAAGGTGTTTGCTCAGTGCTGGTCACCACTTCATAGGTTTCATCTTTGTTGGCAGTTACATTAAGGTTGCTCCATAAAATTTTTCATATTCAAACTAAATGACTTGCTTTCAAATGCTAGACTTGCATTTCCCTCTCCTTTCTCCCTGTTCTGTGCTTGGTTTTTCCCTGGTATCACACACCTGCCTGGTCATTGAGTTCTCTCCCTTCCCTGGCACCTCTCAGCTGGGTTTGGAGGGGCAGGAGCTGTCACTGTGCCGGGTCACAGGTGGTTGTTTTAATCACAGGCTGCAGAAATGGGCTGTTTAATTGGTGTAATTTTGCAGAACGGAAAAACTCTTTTCAAAGGTATTTCTGTAGTGGAACGGAGGGAAAACTGCATCCCTGGCTGGCATTTCCTAGAAAACACTTTGGGGTATAAACTGAGCTGAAATGATTCCAGTTACATTTGTTTCCAAAGCTTTTTTATTTTTTCTAAACCAAATGGAACACAATCAGGTTTTTGAGCTACCAATTGCCATTTTTCTCTCCACATCCACCAAGACAGTTGATGAAAGAATGTTTCTTTTGCTATTCTGTCTCTGTATGTGCTGTTTTTGCTTTGTAGTAACTCAGGTTGGTGTGTCCCAGGGACATAATATGTGTCCAGACCCTGGGATTCCAGAGAGAGGCAAAAGAATAGGCAACGATTTTAGGTAAGAACCTTTTCTGTGTGTGTTTATGCATGTTGCAAAGCTGCTGTTCCAACCACTGTGTGTGCTCCTTGGCATTGTGTAGTCTGTTTTCAGAGACAATCTGCACACCTCTCAGTGTGTGATGTCTGAGAAGCTTGCTGAGACTCCTGATGTGGAGGAACGAGTGTGTGTAAACGTGCATCTGTGTGTTTGGGAGACCGTGTCCCAGCTGAGGATCTGTGATGATCTCTCTCAGAGTATTTCCCTTCACAATATGGGCATTTAGCCAGGCTTGTGTAATCGATGCTTGTTGTCATTTCCCCCCACCAGTGAAGTGCAGAAAGAACTGTCTTAAACAGCAAAAAATGCTTCTTAAATTAGCTTAAGTCACAGCATGGCCGTGCCTCTGGTGGATTTGAGGTGACTTCCCAAAGCACTGGTACAGTTCCTTGTCAATAAGTGTATGTGGTGCTAGATAATTGTTTTCTTATAAAGTTTAAAACAATGCTGTTATTCCCTTGTAGTTGTTAGTGTTCATTTAAAGAGTGCAGGAATGAATTAGAGACAGTGAATCAATATCTAATCTTACTTTGCTGTCAATGGCTGTTTTGTTCACTGCAAGTGTCTTTCAATTTAACCTCAGTCTGTCAGATTCTCCTGAAATCCAGAAAATGGATCGGAGGGGTGAGGGTGGAGAAAAGGGAGTTCCCAATAGTCTTTAAAATGCCATAGGATGAATTTTCAGGAGCTGCAAACTAGCATTGTGTCACTCCAGTGAATAAGGCAGCATTGGCTTAAACTAGCAGAGGATCTGAATCTAAAGTGATTGAATAAAGAGCAAGGCTTTCAGTAGCAGATAAAGATACTGGTTTTCTTTATAAGAGTGCAGAGCATGTCAGCTTTTGGGGCTGAGGATGTGCTCCCCCACTGAACACAGCTCCCACTGAGGTTGTGTTGAAAGACTCAGACCTTGTTCTGGGCTGATCAGCACCCCAGGCAAACCGACCTGTGGTCCCTGCAGGGCCAGGGAGCTCCCTCTGTCCACCACTTGGAGAATCACTGGGGTAGTCAAAAGGGAGTGACAAATATGTCTCTACAAAGTGTCTCTGTTGCTGACTTCCCCCTTTGCTCTGGTTGCCAGGTTAGGCTCCAGCATCCAGTTCACCTGCAACGAGGGCTACGATTTGCAAGGCTCCAAAAGCATCACCTGCAAGAGAGTGAGCGACATCATTGTTGCCTGGAGTGACCACAGGCCAGTGTGCAGAGGTGAGAAGACCAAAAGATGTTACAGAGTTACTAAGACCAATGGAAAACCCATCTCCTTAAGGTCCCTTCGTGCCTCACCCCTTCTGTCCTCAAGTTTGTTGCTGCTTGGTGCACAGTGCTCTGGAAATCATTGAATCGTTGAGTGATTGAGGATGGAAGGGACCCTAAAGGTCATCAGGTTCCAACCTCCCTGCCATGGGCAGGGACCCTTCCACTAGACCAGGCTGCACAAGCCTCATCCAACCTGCCCTTGAACACCTCCAGGGATGGGGCAGCCACAGCCTGATGGTTTGGGTTTTTTTTTAATCCATAAATTCAGTTTTGAAGAAAAGCACCTGTTCCTGTGCATAGTGCAACTGCTGAAGCTGTTCCCATGAACTGTGGAACTTCCTCAGTTCCTGGCTCTGGATCATGTGGGTTGTTTTTGTGTCCTTCAAACCTGTTTACATCTGCCCCTCTTCTCAATACTTTTGTCCCCTTCTGTTCTCTCTACTCCAGGTATTTCTTTTTATGGGATAAAGAGGAGAGGGGACAAAAGGTGATAGCCTGAAGCAAAATGTGGAGAAGCTAAGCTGGAGTGAGATGCTGCTAAATGGGCCTTGCTGCCAGCAGGCAGTGATGGGGAATTACTTAGCCTGTGGTTCCTAACTAGCATGATCCTGATTATCTTGTGGCCCAGCCAGGAGCCATCACTGACTGGAGTTTTCTTTCATCAGGGAAAAGAAATCCTAATGCCCATTTTGCCCTTGGCCATTTGTTTTCATTCCCTCTCTGTCTCCAAAAGGTGGCATGCAGAATTGTGATATTTGTAATGCTAATAATGAACAACTTGTAATATTTTTAATTAAATCCCTCTAAAGCTCTTAAAGTCATAAGTTGATATTTTTTCAGTTCTTTTTTCTTTAATTTCATCTGCAGATTTTTTTCAAGGCTTTGGAATCCCATCTAATTCTTGAAACAAGCCTGGAATAAATTGAATCAGTGTAAGAGGATATTTGGCATAAATATGTGACACTATAAAGGAAATTTATGATGTCCTCTTACAAGAGATAGGAGAGGATTTCACTGCTTTATTGTGATTCTCTGAATCAACTTAATTTTTAAACTGATAACTTTTGGGGTGTTTTTAAAAGTTTTCCATTTGCTTTTTCCTTCAGCTTTATGTAAACTTTTTTAGGTTTGTTCCATGTGTTGCTGGGTATTGAGTTTCTGTCAAATTGCAGCAATCAGGGTGTCTGGTGTTCCAGCTTGGAACCCCCTTGTCTGTACCCATGTCTAATACCCAGGGATCAAAACTTTCCCCACTGCTGGGAGACTGGTTTTCAGCTTCCCCATTTACAGCAGATTCCCTCTGGGGCCTGGGGAGTCTCAGTTAATCCCTTTGTGTTCCTATTACCCACTTTTAAAATGGGAACAGTGGGATTTGCCCTTTTATCCCTGTGAGGTGGGATGGGACATAGGACAGACTCCAGGATGGGGTCCCAGAGGAGGGGACAGGCTGCTTCTCCATGATCCCTTGTGACTACCTCTGTAGTTTGCCCAGCAGATCCTTTTCCATGCTTTACTGCCATTTGGAGAGGGGAAAAAAAAAAGCCTGCAGGTGCCCCATGTGCAAAAATGGCTCCTTTGAGGTTTGAGAGAAATTAATTCTGAGGATCCATCGCAGCAGCAGAGGCAGTTACAAAACCAGGACACTGTTCTTCACATTTGCTGGTTAAATATTACATCAAAGGAATACCACAGGCAAGAATTCCCCCACTTAGCACTTTGCAGCTTCTGCTTTGCCTAAGATATTTTTAAGTTAGGAAATGGAGCTGCCATCTTGGTTCTGAGTCCTCAGTCATACCTGGGTGAAGGCAGCCCTTGCCTGACAAGGACTTGCTGTGCAGAAGCTTTTTTTTTTACCTGCAGTGAAAGGAAATTTGGCCTTCTGGGGACTTGAAAAAGAAACTGGCATCTTCTGTTTTGTGGCTTTCATTGTCCTCGACGTGAGAGTATTTCTGTGAGGGCTTTAATATATTAAAAACTAAATAAAATCAGCCTGAGCAGTAGAGAATGGGTTGTTGTTAGTTGTTCTGGTGGCCCATCTGTTTGATAGCTCCTGGAAACACCCCACTCACCTACTAATCACTGATGAATCCTTCATCTCTGATACTACATGGAAAAAACAATCATCTCTTGGCTAATGAAAACAACACAGAGCAGTGATTTTTAACTCTCCCCCTGTGCTGTGTGCATCTCCCCTTTCCCCTGCATGCATCCCAGAGCTGAAACACCTCCCCCCAAGTTCTGTCTTGGTTTTGCCTCCACAGCCAGGATGTGTGACATGTACCTGCGGGGCCCCAGTGGGGTGATAACCTCTCCCAACTACCCCGTGCAGTACGACAACAACGCCTACTGCGTCTGGGTCATCACCGCGCTCAACCCAGCCAAGGTAGGTCTGGGAGGTGGGTCTCCATGTCCTTACTCCAGTGCCTCAGTTGGAATGTTGGACAGCTGTGCCTCCTGGGAGAGGGTTACCCTCTGATGTTCAGCTGGTCAGGTTCCTGTTCCTGATGTTGGACTCCCCTCTCCCCCTGCCATGTGTTTCCCACACCACATCACCTTCCCCCTCTGCTGAAAATTCGCTTTCTTAAAGGGTGTAATTAAAAGTGAACATAATTATTTTTAATTGGAACCTCTCTGAGATGTTGGTGTGAATGGTGGGGAAATGCCAAACACCTCAGCAAAGCAGCTGCTGAAGGCAGCTCGCAGGGGGGGCAGGAGGGCTGTGCTGGGAATGCTGATCTTCCACTTTCCTGGCCCTTAACCAAGAGGGATTTCAGCCCCCAGAGGGCAGAGGGAGGTGTGGTTCTGTCTGCTGCTGCTCATGCACCATTGTAAACTTGTGAGCAAGTCTTTTCTGTGTCCCCTGAGGTTTCAAAGAGGGGAGGTTAGTGGGGACTTTTTGTCCTCACTGATCTGAGGTATGTAAACTTGTGAGCAAGTCTTTTCTGTGTCCTCACTGATCTGAGGTGTGATTCAAGTCTGTTGTTGCTGATCATGTGGAGAACAAAGCTTGATGGCCTTGAAATCAAGTCCTTGACACCTTCTACTGATTTGGAGAGGGCAGTGTTCAGTGCCTCCCAGCTTTTTCCAGCACTGCAAACTCAGCCTGTTCCTCTCATCCAGATCTGTATGGGAATCTAAGAACAAAAGCTACTTTCCTGTGTAGCTCAAAATACACTGTTTGAGGTGTTATTTACCATCTTCTCCTCTCAGAAGATGACAGGCTTCATTCTCTTTAGTATCTGGGTTCCTAGTAACATCATCTCCATTAGCTCATGAGCAAATCTTGCATGCCAAGCTCATGCTCTGCTGTTAATTGTGCCTTGGTCCTTGCCTCTGGACTGCCCTGCAGGCTGGCACTGCCTCCTGCTGCTGAGCCAAGGCAGGAATTTCACAAACGTGTTGGAATCCCAGGATCTCATCTTCTGCTAGAGGTTGTTATGGTCTGTAGAAACTGCTGGCACCCACCTGCAGGGGTAGCCTGCTGGCTGCTGCTGGTGGGATGGCACCTCCTGTGTCCCCTCCCTGGGGAGCCCTGGGCTGGCTGGGGAGCAGCTGCACTTCTGCTGCTCTTTCCCCACTGACCTCAGCTCACACCTTCAGGAAGTGCAGATCCCGGGTGCATTATGATTTTAATGAGTGTTTCAGTTTCAGAATGAGTTTGTATTTAAAGGGCTGTCGTTAGCTGGTCATTTCATCTGGCTTGGCTGCACAGGGGTGTAGGAATGACCCAAATTCCGGGAAACTGGAGTGTGGAATCAGGATGTTTTGTAGTGCTGATTTATTAGGAGTGATTTACTGGTTAATCAGACCCAGGAGGTTCTCCACCATCAGGGTAATGTGCAAGTGGAGAACAGACCACATATAACAGCAGCTATTATTGCTTCAAGTGTCAGCTGGGCTTTCAGCCCATGGCCTGCAGACCCTTGGGAATACTCTACCTGTGCCTGGAAAGTTTATGGACCACATCAGCATCCTAGGCTGTGATAGGGCTATTGTGCTTATTTTTGCTCAGCCTTGTCTTCAGCAAAATCCAATTTTTGTGTTTATAAATCTGTGTTTGGAGAGAAGCTGTAGTGAGCTGGATACAGACATGCTTGGGTTTTACATGGGCTAACACTCCCATTTGGGATTTTAGCTACAAATCATGAAGGAGGGGATGGCAACTGCTTGTCAAGAGATACTTACGGGCCATGTCCACTGTTTTATTGACCCTTTGTCACATTGCTTTTGTGTTGAAATATTCAGAGTCTGATCTTCAGCTCTGTTCATTTGCTTTTCTGCCAGCCTGATGAACCAGCTTCTCTGCTTTCCCTTCAGCAGTTTGATAGGACAAGTTTCTCCTTTGGTGAGCTTCCTGGCAGACTGTCTCATTGCTCAAAAACTTCCTCTTTATGAATTTCTACTTAGGGAAGTTTTTCCCCTTCCCCTGGTTAGTTTCTTCCTCAGCTTTTAAACCTGAATATGATAAACTGTTTGTTAGAAAATAAAGTCTGCAAGTCCCAGGTTGGCCAGACCAGCAGCTGGTACTGACTGTGCACAGAGACTGCTGTGTTCTTTTTCTCTTAAGTGATAAGTAGTTAATTACTGATACCAGTTTATAAAGGGTTCCTGGATTTTGGATCTTTCAGAAGATCCTGGGTGTGCCCAGGAGCTGGGGTGAGGCACAGACTTCCCCTGGCACTCCTGGGAAGGTGGGAAATGATGGAAACAAATCAATTGCCCTTCATATTTTCTGCTTTTTGAAGAATTCATTAAGGCTCCAGAAACTAAAGGTGTGTGGACAGGACTGTATCTGATGGGTGAAAACACACAAAGACAAGTGGACTCCCTGGCAGGGATGGTGTCTTGGTCCAGCAGGCAGCTCCCAGGGCTGGTGCACTGGCAGTGGGAGCTGCTGGTGTAGGAGTTTCAATGCCAGCTTGGTCACTGGAGTTCCTACCTAGCAAATCACACAGAGCTGCCTCTGCAGAGTGCACAGAAAACCTTTGCTTACTAAAGCCCATGTTAGAAACATGTTGCTAACCTGGAGAATTCACCTGCCCAAGTCCCATTGCCTCTGTGTGCAGAGGGATGGTCTCATCAGTGCCCCCTCCCCAAGGCCAAGGGAGGATTGAAGATGAATTAATTTAAATACCTGTAAAATATTTAGAAGGTAAAAAGCATTCTGGGCCTGAGCTGAGGCCTGCTGGAGTTGGTGGTAATCTTTTTATTGACTTGAGTGGTCTTTGGATCAGGTCCTGTTATACGAAGCTTTTAATATGAGCGATGGGAAAACCACTGAGCTGAATTTAGGCCTCATTTGCAAGTCATCTGTTCTATATTTAGAAAAGAACTGGGAGCCAGATTCACTGAGCTACATAATCCCCTCAAAGTTTGCTGAGAAACCCACACAAACAGTGTTAAGGGCGTCCTGCTCTTCAGCTGCCAGCTCGGAATTGTCTCCCGTGCAGAAGGTGACACCAAACCCACCTGGGGGACGTTCTGGGTGTTCACACCTCCCGCTGCTCCCCAGTGCCACCGGCGATGGTTTCAACCGCAGCGGGGAGAATAAATCACTGGGGAACTGAGCAATGCATATGGTAATTGGTGAATTTGCATCCAAACTATTTCTGAACCTTCTCGACATGATGGATGCCCCTGGTTGGGATTTCTCCCCGGGGTTGTTCTCACCTGGAGTCGAAGGAGCCAAATAAAGCTCAGTCCAAACTTCCTGCGTCATCGGTGGCGAGAGACGGGCCCACCAGGGGCTGATTCATCCCAGATGAAGATGGATGCATGAGACTGGGGAGCAGGAGGGGAGATGAGTAATGTGTGCTTGTAAAGCATTTGAATGGAGCTGCACGAGCTGCCATCCTTCAGGGGGAGAATTATTGTGGCTTTCTTCTACGAATGTGACTGCACTTCAAACCACTTGGCAGGACGGGGCTGGAGAATCAGGTGTTTTCTTGACTTGCTAATTGCTTCCTGTCACTTCAGCAGCTTAAAATTGAGGTTTTGTGTCACCCGTGTGTTTGTGTCTGCTGGTAGGTCTCTTGTTTAATGAATCATTAAATAATTTTCAGCTTTCAGACCAAAAAGAAAATAGGAAAATGAATAAATAAGTATTGTATTCAGCATCCTGTTTCTGTGCCATAAGGTTACAGTCTTCAGTGTACTAGGATGTAATTAGTTATTTAATTAGGGTCAGACTTGTTAGAATGCAGTTTCCTTGAATGACTGATTTAACTAATGACGTGTGCTCTTTTACAGCACTGTTCTTTGTATTAATTACATTATTCCATCATTACATGGTTTACTAGTAATCTGCCCAGGTTAATAATTTGGTACTACCACTAAAATTAACAGTTCCAAACAGGCTTCTGTTTCACAATCCTGGGCCTTTGGGGTAAAACCCTATTTTCAGAATGTCATGGCTAGGATTTCTAATTTGCTTTTCCATGCATCTGAAAAGTATTAATTGCATTTCTGTGTAGAAGACAGTGACAAATCACAGTTTCATCTGGACTATATGTATCTACACCCCCATTATTTTCACAGAATCACAGAATCTTAGGGGTTGGCACAGGTACTGGGTGCAGTACCTCCAATGTTTGGTTGCATTCCAGTGTTCACGTGCTCTCCTAGTTCTGGTCATTTAAACTCCAAGAAACACAGTTCCCATTGATTTCTTCTGGTGTTGTGGATGTAAAGGACTTCTGTAAACGAAGCTCTTTTCCTTTTGTGTTTGTTCACCCTGTCCAAGGCTGGAGTAAGGACCTTTGTCCCCTAAGTCACATTGTAATTTTCAGTTATTTGTAAACAAAAGATTTTCAAGAGCAGCTGAGAGACTTGGAACACAAACCTCTCTGCTCCTGTGGGATTGCTGCTCCTAAATGATAGGTAGAGGCTGCATAAATTGGGAGTGGAAGGTTCAGACAGAACAGGAGGGAAAACACAGAAAATAAAGAGCTGTGGACAGAGATGATGGTGATGGCTGCATTTCCAGACAGCTTGAGATAATTTCCTTCAGCTGCCCCAGCAGTAATTCACATCAAGCCTTCCTTGGTCTCACAGGAGGTTCTGAAAACTGGGAGAAGTTTCTGAGCAACACAGAGCAAAAGAAAGACTCCCATTTGCACCACGTGTAACAGACACACTGTGTGCACATCCAGATCCATCACCATCACCTCTGCTTTATCAAAGGAATGGTACCTGGTGAAGAAAGCCATGCTGAAATCCCACCACAGGGGTCTTGATCCATCAGGTCAGCCAGAAAATCAATAAATAAAGCAGAAAAATCGGAGAGGTAGTTTCAGTAAGAGCTTGATCTGTCTGGAAAGAAGTGCTCCAGAGCCATAAAAAGTGAGGACAGTCACCTCTGCTGATGTCCTGAAGACATTGATGCTCTTATAAGTGGCTCCTCGATAGGCAGATAAATAAACAAGACAAGAGGATCTGCTGGCTACCTTGGCAGTTGATTCGTATTAACATGCTGCATCTTTGCCAGGTTATCAAACTCACCTTTGAAGAATTTGAACTAGAAAGAGGATATGACACTCTGACAGTGGGTGATGGAGGACAAGTCGGAGACCAGAAAACTGTGCTTTACGTGTAAGTAGCATGTCCTTTGTCCCTGTGAGAAATCCACACCTCGGGTTTGCCTGGCAAGTTGTAGTGGGTGTGTTTGGGTGATGGGAGTCCCTTCTGCCTGCTGGACCTTTCTGGGTGGTTTTTGTGCTGTTTGCCATTTTGGTGGAGCTGACTGTTCCTGCTGTGCTCGTCCCCCAGCACATTCTCACAGGCTTCAGATGACAGGAAGGGCTCATTCCTCTTGGCCTCTCATGAGCAGCCTTTGTCAGGGCCCCTTAGAGAGGGGACAAGGGTTTCCCTGACCTGTGTGTTGCACAACATGTGAGCATCTATTTCTGGTGTCTGCTACTCTTTAGGCAGGTTTGAGGTTGGTTAGGCAGTTTGAGGTTTGAGAGCTCTTGGCTGCTCAGAGGAAAGTGTGTGCTGGGACCTCTGAGTTTTGATGGAGGGTGGCAATCACCATCCACACCACAGAGAGAGTTTCCCCCCCTTAAATTTTCACATCTTTCTGAATTTTAGTTTTACATAGCCAGGGTGCTCCACCCTGAGTCTGCACTGTGCTAAAGAAGAGGTTGTAGTGGAAGTGGATCCCTGTGTAGCACAGGGTCAGTCAGGGTCTTTTACAACAGATTCTAGAAAAATACCACAGTTGGAGAAAAAGTCAGTCTTGGTCACCTTTCAGAAGGCTGTTTATTCTCCTTAACCTGCTGATGTTTATGGTTTATATTTGCCCTTCCTGCAGTCAAGTCTGTTCCTTTTCTGAAGGGCCAGTGAGAAACCAATTTCTGTATCATTCAAAAGTAGTTGTGATAATTGTGATAATCATTCAGTTCCACTTTACTGAAGGAACAATGATTGTGCTGTAGCTCCTCTGAACCATTGAAATTCTGTGCAGCTTCATGGAAATCCAACATTTCCAAGGCAGCTGGGGAGCTCCAGGCAGTGTCTCACCCTGGCTGTGCCTGCCCGGAGCCGCAGCCCCGCGGGACGGGGGCCTGGGAACAGAGCAGCTCCTGAGCGGTGCTGAGCACGGTGCTGGTGCAGAGCTGTGCTGCTGCCCCAGTTTCTGACTGCAGGGCAGCTTTGGGCACCTGCAGGTCCCTTGCTCCTCAGATGTGCCCCGTGTTCAGGTCCTGACTGTTCCCCAGAGCCTGGCTCCCCACTGCCCTGGAGCGTTGGTCGCCTCTTGGGAGTGAAGGTGTGTTTGTCAAAGCCTCGGGTGTCCCGAAGGCACTTGCAAGGCCTTCTGGAGCTTTTGGACTTCTGGAAGGAATATTTGAAGTGAGGAATATTTGAAGTGAGGAATAGGGGTTTGGAACCAGGGCCACCAGCTTCAGTGTCTCAACTTGAAAGACTCCCTTCTTTTCCATCTAATCAAACCACGCAGGAACAAACAACTCTCCAGAAGCTCCTACAAAGCTCTTGTGCTCTTTCCAACTAGTAGAGAATATTTAAAATTGTGTTCTTTAATTCCTCCTCTTCATTTGTTTTTCCACATGAATCAGCTGCCCACTCAATTTTCACTTCCTTTAATGTCTTTCTGGAATCTCTCTCTCTGAGGTTCACTTCTCTATGAATTTCTTTCCAGAACATGAACACTGGTGATGCTTAGGTCAGGAACTGGAACCTGCAATGTACATAAATGTAAAGTCTGATTATTGCAAAAGTGTTTGTAATTAAAGTGTCACAGAACATTTCACAGCTGCTTGGTCAAAATGTGCAAATTACTGCCAGGGGAGTCGTTTGTAATACCTTGCTGAAATGATTTCTCATTCCATCTCTTTTTGTTTGTCTAACTCCCATGAAGATCCTCCTAGATTTTATTTGAATCACTGCACGTTCCCTCGCTCTGTACCAGCTACTCCACACCTTGCTAAAGCAAATTTGGAATATCTGAGACTGTCTGCACAAGGTGTAGTGTCTGGGTCTTTGCCCAGTGCAGGAGAACTTTCCATTAAATTGCTGATGCTAATCCTACCAGGGAAGTTTATTTTCATTCTGGGAGGATAAGTTGAAAACTAATGAAGTGTGAAAGAGGTGTGAAGACCACAGAAATTTGTACTCCACTCCATTTGTAATGAAAGTTGTTGAAAGTCCACGGACAACTTTTCTCATCAGTTGCTGCTCTCTTACCTACTGTCAGCTGAATTTCTGTGCCAGGCTGGATATCCTTTGGTTACAAGCTGTAGGGTTTTTTTGAAGAATCAACACGCAGAAATCTACCCCTGTCAAAGACAAGGGTTCAAGTTTTCTTACTGCTCTTCATTTATTCTCACCTAATCAAGAGGAGCTCAGTCCCACAGCCTTTCAAATCAAGAAATACACTTGAATCAGCTTTCAAAGCAGCAGACGTTATCCCAAGCTGAGGGATGAAGGACCATTTGTTTCCAGCCTCACTCACATCCCTGTAAAATGCATCTTGGAGAACATAACAGATTGTTAGGCAGAGTTTCTGACTTGTAGAGAAGATTTTTATTCCCCCAAGTAACAAGCACCCAAATCAATCATTCAGCTTGTTAAAGTGGAATGGGAAAACATGCAAAAACCTTTGAGGTGCCTTTTTTTGAAGGTTTTTCTCTTGGTATGTTCCTCATGTCTGCCTCTCTGCTGCCTAAATGACTTGAGAAGAATCAACAATAGCTTTTCTTCTGCACTCCTCCCCATCAAACTCTCTGGATGCAAAACAGTCATTAAAACGAGATTAATTCTTATTTTAGCACCACCCTGGGATCAGTAAAACTTCTCATGCAGGTCAAAGCAATAACAGAGCAAAAGGGGGCAGAACTGGGAGAGCTCTGATGGGCTTGGGAGACGTGAGTGTGATTTCAGGGAAAAACACCTGATGATTCAACAGCCAGAGTGTGAGTGGTGGTTGGTTTGTGTTAGAGGAGACCCTGATGTGTCTGTGACAGGTGAACATCCCTGGGACGGGAGGAGAGTTAAGTGCGTGGCCAGGTTGGTCCCATTTGCTGTGTTAGGTACCTGTGAGGCTGTTGGAAAGAGCCTGGCACTCAGCAGGTAGCCAGAGGCAGGAATGTCAGGCAAGTAGAATAAATAGCCCAGCCCTTCAAGCAGTTGTTTGACTTCACTCCCACCAAAGGGCGCCTGGGGGATCAGCCGTCCTGTCCCCTCTTGCCCAGGAAACTGGGAATGGCAACAATTACACCTGGAGGCTGCAAGTGACATGTATTCAGGGGATGCTGTCACCACCCTGCTGCTGGGGCTGGCACCTGGCACTTTTGCTTTGTGATCATTCTGCCTGGAGAGCTGGGGGATGGGTTTGATCCTTCAGGTGCTGCTGTTGCCCTGAGAGCAGCGCCAGGCAGCGCCGCGCCAGTGGGGGGGTTGGATTTTAGCAAACCCTGCAGAAAAGCCCCCACCTACTCCCTGGCAGGAGTTGCTCTTAAGGTGACTTAAGAATTTCTCCCAGATGATGCTGTGGCAGAAGTGGAGAAACAGCAACGTCAGCCCTGGCACCGAGACAGGAACCAGGAGGCTCCTGCTCCCGTGGTGCCGCTCCCTGCCCACGCGCTGCTGCTCTGCTTGCAGAGGGAAGGAGCAGAGCTCAGGATGGGCACTGGTGTGTGAGGGTCTGCACTGGTGCTTGTGTGGGTGGGGGCAGAGCTCCAAAGCTGTGTTGAACCACAACGAGGTGATGAATCCCAAAGGCTGGATGAGCCACACATGGCTCATTAATACCGAGATATTGGGGACATTTTTCTGAGCCTCCTCAGCTCTCCCAGGAGTGTCCTGGCAGGGTGGGCAGGCAATGTCCTGAGCATCCCACACTGCCTGGTTTGGCAGCACTTCTCAAGGGCTCTCAGGGAATTCAACAGATTGAAGGCTCGTGCTGTGTCTTCCAGAGTGGTTTGGTTTGGCATTTTTTTCTATTTTTTTTGAGATTCTGGTGGAAACTTCAGCATCAGGGCCAGGAATGGAGCAGAGAACGTGTTGAAAGCAAATTTTTGTAATTCCAGAAATTATCTCCAAGGCAGTTAAGAGGATTCAGTCACCAGTTTGGGTTCTGGGAATTCTCTTTGTTTGCTTGTGCTTTGCTTCAGTAAGAAAGAAAATTATTGCTATTGATGCTTCATACTATATTGTAATAATGGTAGTAAATTGTAATTATTATAGTGATGTTGATAATAACTCACAGGCCCTCAGCTCTGGTAGAAGACTCACTGTGCAGGTAGCATGCAGGAACATACTGAGGGGCTCATCAGTCTTGAAAATCTCAAAGGTTTTTGGGGTTATTCTGAATTGTGTTGGCATTGCTCGTTATTTTCTGCTCCTGCAGAGGTGTAGGTGGCCTTGTTTTTGGTGGGAAAATAAGTTTGGGGAGACATACAGTTTGTTTACTTGTTCTGATTTCATTTTTACAGCTTGACAGGCACCACTGTCCCTGATCTCATCGTCAGCACACACCACCAGATGTGGCTCCTCTTCCAGACAGACAGTGGCAGCAACTTGCTGGGATTCAAAGCAACCTATGAAGGTAATTCAAGCATTTCTCTCAGAATGTACCTGTTTTAAATAGATCAGGGATGAGATGGGATGCAGTCGTTTGGGAGAAAAGAGAGAAAGAAGCTTCTCTAAATGTATTGAAGCTTTGCAGATTTTTGTTTCTTAAAGCTTAAGCTTTGCTGCACTAAGAACAGCTTTCCTGCTTCCTTCTGTGTGAGAGCAGACTGGGTGGGCAACGTGTCAGTGCCTTGTCATCTGCTTTGTTGGCAGAGCTGGTGCCTTTCAGCTGATGGGAGATGTGTGTCTGGGAGAGAAAATGAGATGAAGCAGAGAGTGGTTCCAGTAGATGAATGGTATCAGCTAGTGTAAACCTTGACTAGTCCAGAGTATTACAAATGGAATAAAAGTTAATGCTGGGATTTTTCCCAGGAAGCTGATTAGCATTAGGATGTGAATGCTGAGCCCTGTCATGAGCTTCTGTGTTTCTGTTGTGCTCTTTGCCAGAGAAGGTGTGATGGAAACGTGTTCCTCCTAACTCATGTAAATGACTAGTGATTCTAGCTGAAGCTTTTCTTAGATTCCTGGTTTGAGTTGCTTTTTGTTTTTTCCAGAAAGCTCCATCTTGAGTCTCCACATTTGGTGTGAGCACTGAGTGTTCTCCCCTTCCCTGGCTGCTCTGAGGACTGTGCTCCCATCCAGCAGCCTCGCCCTGCACAGCTGGGCACACAGGAACACTGCCACTCAGATGTCAGCTTCTTTTTGGCTTTGTTGTCACCTTGAATCTCTTTACAAGGCTCTCAAATGCCTTTCAGTTTTCTCCATGACCTGCTGGTACCAGGGCTGACTTACTCTTTTGGCTCTGATGGCTAAAAGGCACACAAATCAACCAGCCGTGGGGGCAGATCCTTGCAAGGTCTGAGTATCAGCACTAACATTTAAATGAAATTTCTCTCAAGCACTCTAAGTGCATATTAGTGTTAATTCCTTTTTAAAAATGCTTCTGTGGGACTCGCCATGTTTCTGGGAAGTGTCATAACTGCGTTCAGGCCAGGACCTGCCCACAGCAGTGCTGCTGATTGATGCTACATTAACAGGAGTTGGGGGCCTGAAGGGACCTGACCTGCCAGCAAACCTGGCTGGATGAAATGCCAGCATGTCCAGGCAGGATGAGCAGGGTCTTTGAAGGGGACACTGGGTGGTGACTCTGGAGTGTGTACAGGATGGCAGGACCAGGTCAGCAGAGAAGACATGAGGCATAGGTAAAAGATAATGGAATTGAAAAAAAGAAAAGGCCAATCCGACCTGAAGACTTAGGGAGCATCTCAGTGCTGCTGGCTGTGCTGCTGGCAGCCCTGCAGCTCTGCCTTGAGATCCTTTCTGGGTCCTTCATCTCACCCAAAGAGCAATGTGTGTGTATTCTTTCAGGCTTTGGGTAAGTGTGATGTTGACTCACAGCATAGCACGGAGAGTTGCAAAGTCCATGATATAGGCACTTCCTTACCCTGGTGGTCATCTTCTGTGAACTCTGGATCTATAAGGAGCTTGACCTTTCCCTCCTCTGACCTGCTTGGAAGTTACTGGTAGCTTGATTCATAGCAAGGCTGAGCTGCTCTTGTTCCCTGTGGCCTCAGCAGTCAGTTTGGGGACCACCAGCATCATTCATGCTTTCAGGTCCTGCTGTATGGAGCTTCCAATGCCTTTCCAGACCCTGCTCTCCAGCTTTACCTGCCCAGCTGCTGCCTGCGTTCCTCTTCTGTGTCCAGAACCTGAAGAAGTGAGGAAAAAAAAGGGGGATGTTGTGACTCCTGTCCCCTGCTGAGCCTTAAAGGAAGGGCCCTTCCCTGGGCAGTGTGTGTCCTGCAGGTGTATGAGCAGCAGGGCTGCCCACTGCCTGAGCTTCACACCTTTTCTGTGTCTCTGGGCACCTCTGCAGTTGCTGTGCAGCATCTCCCTGACCTTGCAAAATGGATTTGGGTAAGAACAAAGAAATACACTCAGTGCCTAAGGACCATGCTGGTGCTGTCCTGAGGTGAAGCCAACCTCCCCCCAGCCAGCTCCATAAAACTCTTCTGGTTTTTGCAAATGCTTTGAGTTACAGAGCAAGAGACGTTTAAGTAAGAGGCAATTAGCACTTGCCAAATACATTATGAAATTATATGCAACTTACTAACAAGTTTCAGTACCGGTTTTATGGCCACACTTCTTCCTAATTGTGAGAGGAAGATTACAGCTAATGGAGCTATATATAATCAAGACCAAAAATCTGCCTAATAGAAGGGCAGAGTACTGCTTAGAGAGGATTTTTAAAACAGCCATCTATCCTAACCCATGCAAGTTTTAGTGTGCACTCCAAGTGCCACAGCATCGTAAAGCCTGGGGCTGGGGCTGGGGCAGCTCTGCCTGCCTGAGGTTTGTGAGGCACAGATTGAGGGGGGCAATGGGCCAGCATATCTTAATGGAGGGTGTGTGAGGAGGGGGAGCAGCTAGGTCCTTTTGTTTCACCTGTGAGTAAAGAGGGAGCAGATTTGCACCAGGAAGAGTGCACAAGGTGTTTGGATACAGGAGTTTCCAAACCTGTGCTGCAAGGTTGGATGCATTTGGAACAAATGCTCAGGGGGTGTAAATCAGTGTGACAGCATTGATTTTCAATTAAGCTGTGTCAGTCTTTACCAGCTGAGGATCTGGCTCATTAATGTTCATGAAGATTACTTCTAAATCTCCCATGTCTCAGCCACAGCCTCTGTTATCCTTTTCAACAGACATTCTCTCATAATAGCAAGCAATGTTTCTGGGCTTGCAGTGCTTGTCAGAAGAAATTTGTATTAAGCTCCACTTTGCTGGAAAAGTCTTTTCTTTCTCACAACTATAGCGAGCTGATTGATAGTGCAATTCAGAGTTTGATTTGTGAGAGGGCTTAGAGCCTCCTGAGGTCCTGGATCTTATCTTTTCCCTTCTTTCCTTTAATCTCAGATGACTTGTTCTGAGAATACCTTCCCCTCAGAGCTGGTGCCTTCCACAGCCATCAGAACAGTTCTTTGAAAGTTCCCAGCTCAACCCCTTGTAGCAGGTGGAATAAATAATTCCTTCAGGTGGAATTTTCAAAAGTTCTGGAGAAATTTAGGGTTCATTGAAGAGGATTCAGACTCCCAGAATCTTATCCACAATCCTTCTGCAATTATGTTCCCCATCAGTGGACTGCAGATGCTTGGTCCTCCTCACAGGGGAGGTGTGGGGAAAAAATATGTTTCTGTTCCTGATGAGCTTGAGGCTATTTCAAGCAGTAGTATGAAGGGAATAGTCAAAAGTTCTGTGGTAAGAGACAGAAATACTAAAAGGTGAAAAAAATACAACACAACCAGATTTTAATATAGTCTTACATTTATATATTTTTAATATAAAGTAAAAATTAAAAAAATAAAGCTAGATTTCTAGAGCCACACACCCCCCTGGTTTGGATGTTGGAATTGGGTGAGCTTGGCTAGAGCTGAGTGAGGTCTGTGCTCTGAACCACCAGCGTGTTGCAGGCAGGGGTGATTAAACAGTATTTATTGTTGTTGAAATGCTGACTAAGTGCTTGGCTCTGGGCAGCTTAGCTTTAGAGCTGAAATTTAGCCCCATGGTGCTAAGAGGCTTAGGAGCTCTGCAGAGCTGGAGCCTGAAGATTTCCTCTGCTGACCTTTCTGGTTTCAATCCAATCCGTGCTGCCCAGCGTGGCTGCTGGGATCAGCTCCCAGGTGTTGCCCACCTTGTGTGCAAATGCAGAGCTCTCTACAGATACCTGGATGCAAGCTGCACCTGGAGGTGTTCATACACAGGTATTTGTGTCAAATAATGGCTTAAGTTGCCTGATTCTAGGAGACCTGGGGAAAAAGCACAGCTCCCTGAAACCGGCTCTGCTGCTCAGCGATGGCTCCTGAAGATCCCAGCCTGGAGCTGTGCCTGCTCAGGTGCTCTCAGACCCAATGACAGGCAGGCAGGTAGTTTGCAGTGATTACATATATTTATGTATGCTTTTTAGGTTCTGCATTACCTAACCCCCAAGATTGTTGATGGTGAAAGTCTGTCAGAAAACTTAATGTTTATTTCTTTCCCGCTCTGCTTTTCCATTAAATATATTGACTCGTGTCATAAAGCACTAG